CATGGACTGAAGCCTCCAAAACCATGAGCCAAAGATAATCTCTAAGTTGACAGTCTCTGATATTAGGTATAGTGACAGAAAGCTAACACAGATGCTTCCTACCTTGTCAAGCCACCCACTCCACTGCTGAGCTGATCTGTTAGTTTCCCACTAGTGATCCCACTCATTGGTCTTACCTTCCTCTGATAACCCTGGGAATAAATCTACACTTTATTCAACAAGCATTTGTTGACCATCTTCTATGTTCTTGACAAGATTGCTTGCAGAGACTTGTAGGAAAGGGTATCTTCCTCAAAAATATCTGCCATCTAGAGGACTCGGTGTACTCCCAGGATCAGTGTACCAAGGAGTATCATAACAGAGTAACGCAAACTGGATAGTATCCCCTGAGCACTCAGTATTTTCACCTGAAAAACACTGTGTCAGGGACAATCAGACAGAACCAAAGGATCATCAAAGGTGGTGGCATAAAGTCCCTTGCAAAACCAATACTTCTTGATCAGATGGCTCTGACTGTGTTTTGTCCAATTAACTGCCAGTTGTTGATACCTGACATCTGAACAGCCCTGTATAGTTTGCAAATTGCAATCACAACTATTATTCTTAAAAACCCTATAAGGTTCTTAAGATTTTTCCAGTTTATAGATGAGGAAATAGCAGCTCAACAAGACCAAGTAACACATCTGAAGTCCTATGGTTATGTGGAAGAAAAGGGAAGGTAACGCCCCCCCCCTTCTTCAAACAACACTTTTATTGTTCTTTGAAATGAAAAAAAAAAAACTGAGGAAGGTATCAGAGAAATATTGGAAGAAAAATCTGCCTAGTAATATTTCTAAAAACAGATAATCAGAAGGGAGATACGAAAGATACAGGATGTAGATAGTCCTTAAACTAAATAATGAAGAAAAAACTGCAAAAGTCTCTTTTATAAAGCTCCCAGTAATTGTAGAACAGACCTATCTCAGTAATAGTTTCAAAATTAAGGAATATCAGTTCCACTATTTTACAGGTAAGGAAACTAAAGCACAAGAAAGAGAGTATCTAGAGATATTTTCCTGATCAGAGGCAAAGCACCATCCTCTCCCTGACAGATATGAGAGCAACTCCATCACCCAGTGGCCAGCATGCCTGCTCATGGTAGACATCTTCTCCCACTCTGAGCTGAGCACTTAGGGAAAGAGAAGGCACTTGTTTAATAGACAGCAGTCATTCTTCATACCATGTCCATTTGACTAGCAAGCAGAAACCAGAGTGAGTATGCCTGCCTCTGGCATCTCAGTCTCAATTCTTTATACCTTATTGCTGAGACCAATGACAACACACAATAGGGGTGACAGTGTAACCTGCCACAGCCTCACCTACCTTATCTTCCTCTTTCTTTTCCACATTTTGTGTTTAGCTAGGATTCTTTCCCAAGAGTGCCCTTGAGCACTTTCTCATTTATCACTTTATTCCACATGCCTAGATAAATCTCCAGATGGTTCATGTTCTCCAAACCCTTCTACTCTGACATATCAAGAGATTTCTACCACAGAACAATTGAGCATTCGCCCAGGAAACTAGTGAACTGAATTGGTTCTACTCTAATAAGATGAAGGAAGAAGCTTAATATACACCAGACCCCTGGGAACTTCACTCACAGGCTATGTATCAGGGAACTTTCCAAAGACTGCCCTGGAGAATGTCTTCTATACTTCTGGACCATCCTTTAATCAATCAACCAATTGATAAGATCTATTCCATGTCTAATGGCTTCTTGTTGTTGATCTGAGTTCATTCTTTCACTCAATTTCTTAGACACCTTCTATGAGACAGATGATTACCAAAAGCCCTGGAACAGATACAGAACTCCTTCTCCTTATTAGAAGGCAGCAGGGAATGAATACCTGGGATGAGTCTGTGTAACTGTCATAGTTTTGTTAGCCCATAATATTTATGGAAAGTTGTTCAGAAATGTCCATAGGAGGTATTACTTTAGGAGTATGGACAGAACATTCTCCAAGGAAAAAAAAGCAAGTGAAAGAAATCCATATGTCCTTTACCTTATATATGGTCAAATCCACTCCAATCCTTTGGACTCACAAGCCCCTGGAATTAGGAAATGGAACTTTCTCAGACAGCCCTTAGAGAGATAAATGGATTGGAACAGTTGTCCCAGAAATATATAATGTTCTCTTACAAAGCCATGGCATTTCTTCAACTTGAATAATGCATAGATGTCTGTTTTAGAGAAAACCAACTCTTCTGGAGCACCATATTGACTTCAATTTTTTAAATGTAGCATTTCTTAAAGATATGTAACCATAAAGCTAAACATAAACTCCTTATGTATACATAGCCCTCATGCAATAGTAAAAATTAATTTGCAAATTAAAACTGAAAAAAAATTAATATTGAAATTGTCACTATTAATTTAATATAGCTCAGGAAAATTTGATAAAAATTGACAATTGATAAAAATGTGAGTATAGATCACAGGACTATTATGTGCACTTGTTTTCTGAATTTAGTCTGCCTCCACTATAATCTGTGTTGTAGTGACTCCATTCCCTCAGTACCTCTCTTTGTGAAAATTCTGAGAAATCATCATTTCTCCACCCTTTGATGTTCTTTGGTCTTCACTGGGGTGCAGATAAATTCTGCATCAGCCCTGTTTTTATTCGTGAGACAATATGGTGCCCAATGGCCCTTCCCTCTACCCCAAAAAGGTGTGCATACTCCTGTTTAACAAAATGACTCCAAAATGATCTTAGTTGCTATCAGAGCCCCAAATAACAAGGATCCTGTACCAACTTCCCAGAAGAGTGGGATATACTTGATATCGTAGAAATGAGAACAGTGATGGAAAAGTCATGGTCAGTCAGACTGAGTGATGACTAGAGTCTTCTAGATGGGAATCAGGCAGAAACCCAGTTCATTTGGAATATTTTTCTCTTGCCACAAATGGCCAAGAGATTATTATGATCTAAACCCGAATAGGAAGCTTTTATGGGATGTTATGAAAGAGAAAATACACACACACTAGCTAGCAAGAGAGCCTGATGACATAATGGCCTATTTCATCTGTAATTTCAGTGATTATATAAATGATGAATAAAATCCAACTGCAAGTGCTTTTTTATTATCTTCTCGCTGGAGCAAGATCTGAAAGGTTGACCCCTGGAACATAAGAGCCTCCTTTAGATGTACCCAAGAGCTAGAATAAAGCTTGGAATCTGTACTTTGACCTGGAGCTCTTAAAGAAAATGCTGCTTATTACTCCTCTGGGGACAGAGACATTTTTACAATGATATCCTCTTACACTAGAGGAATCATGCAGATCACTCTTAAAATCAAAAGAACCCTACCCCAGTGTGGCTTCTGCTGGGGGAAGTTGGGATAGCTGATCGACAGTACCGAGCTATTCACCCAAGGCCTAGGATAGAGAAGGAATGTAGACAAGGAACAGGTGATCCCGTTTCTATATTGAGGTCACTGGATAGGACCAGACATGAGTCATTCTCCCCTAAAGTGTCTGAACTCCAATCAAGTATCTAAAAGCTGGCAAAGCAACTGTTGGGAAAACCACCTAACCAACCACATATCAGATTAGATATCCTCTAGTCAAGGTGAGCAGAATTGGGTGGGGTTGTCTCCAATAGAATGACATTTTGGGGTAATACCCTCAATGGTCTAGCATCTTGGAGAAGTACTTGTTATTCTTAGCTGTAGTTATGTCTGTCGCCTGTCAGAAAATTGGACTTGAAACATGGCTTCTAATGGTAGCTAATTGAAAAAAGCTTCTTCCAGTGACTACTGGCTGCTTCAAAGTATGATCTCGGTATTTCACCAGCCCTCCCAATACTATGTCCTATCTTTAAATTCATTCATCGTACACGAAAGGGAGCAGGCAGATCTACCCAGCACTTCTCAGTAGAAGTGGGCAGCTGAAAGGAAGGGTTTGCAGATCTTTCACACCTCTCATGGTAATGCACAGTATCCATTAGAGAGACACCTAATCATCTGCAGCTGTCAAATCCAAACTGCCCTCCTTTAAGAGCCCATTTGTTTTCTTGCCAGATCAATGCTCTTATCTGTGGTTGTGTGGACCACCAGTGACAGCCCATAACCAGTTAACATGCAATTCAATTTCCAAAGAAAAGAAATGTCTTAATTTAAACATTTATTGTACAACTGTGAAAATGCCCTAAGTGAAATTAATTGAGGCTCAGAGACTATACCTTATAAATCACTTTGCCCAACTGGAGCAAAATGATAGAAGCAAATAATATAGGTTTTGGAACAGAAAAAGGTAACTTTGCTCAGGCTTTCGATTATTAACCCTAGGGCTGCTGTCATTACTATACTGTAGTGATGGTGGTTGTCAGCATGGCTAGATCTTAGCTCATAGCAGGAACAACACTTCAAGTGCTCTAGCAAGTCTTCCCAACAAATAATGCTCCTTTAATTACTCTCTACAGCCTCCTGTTCTCTTCACATGGGTGGTTCCCCCCCCCCCAATGTTTTAGTCAGCTTCAGAACAATTGTAGAGGAGAAAGGTTTATTTTATGAGGGCTCATGATTTCAGAGGTCTCAATCCACAGAAGGGCCAGCTCCATTCCTGGAGCTCCACGTGAAGCAGAACATCATGGCGTCAGAGTATGGCAGGGGGAACCAGCTCCCATGATGATGGAGGTCTCCACTTGACAGGTACAAATATATACCACAAAGCCACGCTCCCAATTCCCACCTTCTCCAGCCCCACCCTACCACTTCAGCTACCACTCAGTTAATCTCTGTCAGGGGATTAATTCACTGATTGGGTTAAGACTCTCACAACCCAATCATTTCTCCTCTGAAACTTCCTGCATTGTCTCACTAGTGAGCTTTTGGGAGACACCTCACATCTAAACTTTAACACCCAAACAGGTGCATCTAGATGTCTATCATTAGAGAATCTGTCATTGAATTATATCCTTAACTTTTCTGAGTGAAAGAAAAATTTCTAGTTATTGAGACACTTTTGTTGTATAAAGATTTTTATAATTAGATGAATCTTATTCTAATGTTCCAATGTATTTGAACATAAAACAAAACACCACTGAAATACTTTAAACAAGTGAAATTTTGCAGTTGAGAAAATGCAGAAGCAGGTGGCAGATCACACTTTCTATCACATTCCTACTCTTGAATGTGTGTGTCCACAGAATGGTTAACTGTTCACCAAGACTGAATATTCTTTTTCCTTGTTACATAGTTAGATGATACTCCCACCTTCTCTTTTGGTTGGAGGTGAGCAGGTGACAGAGCTTTGACCATGGTGTTTGATCATAAAAGATGGGCTTCTCTGTAAAGTCTGGACCAAGAACATATCTCACCTAGCATTCTTCATGTTCCGTCCTCTTCTATAAGCTTGATGCAGATGAATGATGACTATTTTGAAAGCCTAGTGTTGAAGATAGAAAAAATCTGGGCCCTTGAATCACCATTTGGAAGAGAAATTCCTGTAAATCAGGGACATCAATGTTACACTTTACCCAAGATAAAAGAAAACTCCTTTGACGTTTGAATCATGAATGTAACTCTGAGTTCATTTGTTATGGCAGCAAACATTAATGGAAATATGTGTTCAATGAACATAAAGATAACAAAAGTCTAGATCTCAAGATTCCTAACAGTTTTAGAATATTTTTCTGCAAAAATTAGGGTTAAATATATATATATATATAAATATATATATATATATATCTCATTTTTATTTTCTATGAGATTCAGGTTCCTTACCTTAAAAAAA